AAAATTCTAAAACATCATTTCTCTATCTCAGATTTGTTTTTTTTTTTTAATTTCTTTAAAATAGGTAGGGGATGCCCTCCTAGTCTAAAAGGATTTCAAAGGGCTGTTTCATACATAAACTCTTTTTCCTAAATGCTCATGTCAGTTTCATAAGATTCATGTCCATTTTGGGGCTAAAAGGTCATGACAACGTTCCCAGATTTCAGTGCCAGATGTGTCTGCATGGCAGATCATGCAGACCCAAACTCATTCTAGCATCTGGTTAAACACATTCTGCGCCAGATCTTTACCATATGTACATATAACTGAGACATGTGGGAAAATAACCTATTGTTCCCCTCTTTTTGCTTCATTTATAATGTAAACAGGTTTTCTAAAGGTGTAACTAAATTAGGTGTTTATTTCTAGGCAATCACCACACAGTTGAGAAGATAACACTGTGTCTAGAATGTATTACATGCTACCTGGGAATGGAAATAAAGGAATAAGGATTCAGAGAAAGAACGATCATTTCTAGTTGGAATGATCAAAGGGATAGGATCATAAGTCTTGAAGAGAAGGAAGCATTTCCATGGAGTGGTTTCAATGGGTGGAGTTAGTGGAGTGGATTTCTCAGTGGGGTGAAGGGAGCAGGGGAGATGGGAAGAATGTGAACAAAAGCAAAGGGCTCAACAAAAGCAGAGTATTTAAGGGAAAAGTTAAATCAACAGCAACAGTAGAGATCATGTGGTGAAATTAAGACACCCTGGTAAACCAGGTTAGGCTACATTTTAGAGAAACTTGAATCTAAATTATAGAACTTTGTACTCTATACTGCTGAATAAAATGTAGTGACACATTGAGAGTGATTTTCAAGGAAGACCATGACAGAATTATGAAGTGATAGAATCTGAACTAACTGAGACAGGAGAAGTTACAATGGATCAGAAGTAAAATGTGGGTTATCTTTTCAAAGGAGGAATGGATAGAGGCAGGGACTATCTGTGGGGGTGTGAGTAATTAAAGGAGACTGCCGTTTTGAATTTGGGTGCCTCGGAAAATGTCAATATAATGAAATGTAAATCCTTATAGATAAAGGGTGAATACAATTTTGGATATGTTGCATTTGAAATGACAGTAGGACTTCCAAGTGAAGGTATCCAATGGACATTTGGATATATAATACTGAATAAAGGTGATGATTGGAAACTCTTGGAATAGATGAGATTACCAAAGGATACAATATGAAGGCAGGGTAGTATGATATCAAAGACAGAACTTTGATGACTATAGTTGGAGGATTGGAATAACAGACAAACTGTCAGAGTGGACACCCAACAATGGATCCCTCTGGGAGTGGGGTGTGTGGGCATCCTTACATTTCTCCCAGAGCTTAGTTGTTCCCAGTCTTAGTGGGGAAGAATTCAGTCTTTCATCATTAAGTGTGATGTTAGCCCTAAGTTTTTATAGACTCCCTTTATAAAAGAAGTACCTCTATTGCTAGTTTCCTGAGATATTTTACCATGAATGAAAGTTTGAAATGGCTTGTCTGCATTCATTGAGATGATTGCATGGTTTTTCTTTTTTAGTCTTTGGTATAGGGAATTGCACTGATTGATTTTCTGATATCAAACCAACTCTGCAAGGTCATAATATACTACTCTTTTTAAACATCACTGGGCTCTATTTGCTTATATGTTTTTTAAAGAAAATTTGCATCTAGGCCCATGAGAGATATTGATCTATAAATTTTTTTATAGTGTCTTTGATTTTGGTGTCAGGGGAATGCTGGCATCAAAAAATGAGTTAGGAAGTGTTCTCTCCTCTTTTATCTTCTTGAAGAGTTTGTGAGGGATTGATATTACCTCTTCCTTAACTATTTAGTGAAATTCCAAGTGAAAAATACCTTGGCTTTGACTTTTCTTTGTAGGAAGGTTTTTACCCATAGGTAGACTATAGGACTATTCAGAGTATCTGTTTTCCTGATTAAATTTTGTTGATTGGTGTCCTTCAAGTACTTTGCCTCTTTCTCATCTAAGTTATTCAATATTTATATCAAGGTGTGCAAAAAATTTATTAACCTTTTAATGTCTGTAAGATCTATTGTAATATTCCTCTTTCATTTCAATTACATCTGTTTTCTGCTTGTCCCATCTGCTCCTTGTTTTATGTTTCTCTTTTCCTTCTTTATTTTAGATTGAACATTGTTTTGATTTTACTAAGTAATATTATTTAGAATAGAAAGAAAGCAAGACATGAGCTCTCATGTATCATAACTGAAATTCTCTCAATGAAAGGAGAAATAAGGTCATAAGTTGAGTGTAGAAAAATGTTGGTATTACCCTGACACCAAAATCAAAGACACTACAAGAGAAGGTTTAGAATATTTGTCTTGGGAAGTTTCCTGGGGAAAGGAAGAGATTAACATGTGGATTTCCAAGCATTAGTAAGGGCCCAGCTAAGTAAATATGTAACTAGTAACCCTATTTGGAGGGTGAAGATGTACTATGATCAAATCTGAAGATATGTCTCTAAATAAGCCCTAAAAGTGGGAAAATATGAAAAAAATATAATGGAATTACAGTGGTATCAGGCTACTTCACATTTCAATTTTAGTTTTATTCAAACTCATTCATGTTTTTCCTCAAGAAAGTTGAGGATATTAGCTTCTTTTGGACAATCACATTTTTCCAGGAGTCCAAAACTTGGACAGAATTGGCAGCTGTCTTTTCTAAATGTTGAACACTCAGTGGTTTACACAGGGCAGTTGAGCTTAAGGGATTTTCAGTAATACCTGAATGAAGTTTCTCCCCTTTTTTTCATAGTTAAATTATCTGAAAGGCCAGAAAAATGTGAAATAGCTGAAAGGAATTGGTTTTGGTTGAGTGGAAACAGAATGAATGGAAAATTGGCAAGCCAGCTGGATATTTTGTAGGACTAATGGTTTTGGAAACATATTTGCAAGACTAGGATAATTATTCTACTCGTTGAACTGATTACATTTTGTTTTGTATTCCTTTTGTTTGCAAAAACTGTGATTGCTTGAATCATGTAATGAAACGTGAGCTTAGTGTAAAGGCACAGTTAATCTAAATCCCTCGTTGTCCACGGGCATTGTTACTTCATTTACATATTGAAAATCCATGTGATCAAAAGTGGGACGATCACAGGACCCTACAAATATTTCATTTGGGTTGCTTTCACCATTACAGCTGGTTCTCAGAATACCTTTTTGGGTAAGCCTCAACTTTAGCAGGAGAAAAAGTAACATTTTATGTGAAAAAAACTTAATATAGGTATTTTTTTGTAGACAGAAAGATGCAAACTAACCCATACTTTTCCAGCAGTGACCACTGGGATGTAGAACAATGAAAGACACAGACTCAGGTCAGACTGTCTGGGGTTTCAATACTGGCTTTTCCACTTACCAACTGTGTGATCCTGGGTGAGAGGCTTAACCTCTTTGGGCTTCAGTGAAATAGGAAAATTGTTTTATCTCAGAAACTTGATATGAAGATTAAATTAGTTAATACATGTAACATGCTTAAACTGGTGCATAGAATGTGGTCAATCAGGTGTAGCTGTTACCAGAGTGAAAGAGGTTAGTGAGGCTCTCTGCATCACCGATGATGCTGGGTTTGAACAACATCTAGATCAGGTACCCTGGATGTCAAATTTACACATGCTTGATAACTACCTTAAAAAGGTGCTAGGAATAAAAATGCCAAATGCCATCCACTTGAGTATGACAATTATAGACAATTTAAGGTTTTCTTCCTTGTATACTGTATTTTTTCTGCCAAGTGTGCAATCATTTCTTCAAATGTAATTTTAGTGTTAGTCAAAGTAATTATAATTATGTTTCAGCATGTACATTCTAAATCAACTCTTTATGATTTATGAAAAATAAAATGTCACTATGTACTGAAAACCCAGTATAATTATGGCAAATTTTGTGTCTTCTATAAGTGATGAAAATTAACAAGGTGATTTTTATAATTCTCAACATGGAAAGCTAATAGTAAAAGGCACAGAGAAATATTCTGTGGAAAAACCAAACTATAATTGCAAAAGCGGGAAGGAGTTTGGCATTGAATGAGCTCTTATCCTGTTTGGCAGTTTTTTCCTTCATATACTATTTCATTTATTTATCTTTCAAAATCCATAAAATAAATATGTATTATCTCAGTTTTATTAATGTTAGAACAAAAACTCAGAGTTTGACTTCAACAATTCTTCAAGGCATTTAGGAGTGGTGCTGGGTGTCAGATCCTAGTCATTTTATTTCAAAGCCTGCGCCCTCTCCATTGCATCTGTCTGCCTCCCAGAAGCTATCTGACACCACTGAACAAATTTTATATAAAAATTATAGCTGAATCACCAAAACAAATCATCTCTAGTTTTTCAGTACCTTATAATTCAACTAGTTTCATTTCTTTCCATATTTTCCCATTGCATTTCATTTCCATAAACATATGCCGTTAAAGCTCATACTAAAATAGCCTATAGTCTCAGGATGAGTCTCCTTGCTTTTAGGTGTACAGAAGGGAAGCACCACAAGGCATAACAGTAGAAAAAGTGCCAACCCTGCAGATGGTCCTTGTTTTGCCATTAACTAGTTATTTCATTTTGAAGCAAGCTATTTCACAGTGTTGAAGTTCTTCTTTTCATTTGTGGAATGAGGGGAAAATACACAGTGATTGCAAATGTTCATTCATTCCATCTCTTTTGATGCTCTGTGATATTCTAAATCCATACTGCTTTTTCCCGAGGAGCCAGAAGTTCGAATATGGACCAGTTTTCTAGGGAACTGTCCCTCATTGGGATACTCTAGCCTCCTGGAAATTCTCGGGAAGTATTAAAAAAATGACTATAAATACAAAATGCTGTAATAAATAAATCCAGAATATATTTTTTAAGGATATATATATATATATATATATATATATCTTCTCTTAATCTAAATTCTTTTCACTTTGAATCTAGGATATCCTCATTTTTCTTTTCCATATTTTCTACAGGATTATTTTACAAATGCAAACAGAGAATTGAAAAAAGATGCTCAGCAAGATTACCACCTAGAATATGCCATGGAAAATAGTACACACACAATAATTGAATTTACCAGAGAACTGCATACATGTGATGGAAATGACAAGAGTATAACGGTAAGGAGTCTTAGTGAAGGCATGTGTGAGCAAATTGTACATTTACAGTTGTGAAACCCTTTATGGAATGAAAAGGAACAAATATATAAAATTAACCTTTGACAACAAAGTCACCTAGTCTTTTCTGGAACATTTTTGAATTTCTCTTTAGTAGCCACAAAAAAAAAAAATCTAAGACTATAAATTTCAAGAAAAGTAGTTTTTGTGTGAATTAAAATTTTGAAGAGCTGTTTAAAGGGTGTGTGATTTTACCTGTAGAAGGTTTTAGCTTCTTCTCTGTAAAGCTTGAAAACAGACAATAGATAAAGGTTGGAAGAAATTGTATTACACAAGAGAGAATTATGATACTGACTATTAGGATATAATTTGTCTGATTTGTAACTGACTCATTTTTGTAAATTTCTAAAGTGTAGATGAATAGTAGACTGATGAAAATTGCCTGTCGACATATTATAGAAGATTTCTTACTGTCAGACATTATGCAAAAATTAACATCTTTGTGCTTATGCAAATTAAGTGTTTAGAGGATATATAATTCATCTGGTACTTTGAAAGTTTCCATGAATGTCTTGAGTCAATTTCATTTTGTGTAGACCAATAAAATTGTCTTTTTTATTTGGTAAATCAGAGCCTTGAAAATGGGAATGTAAAAATCTGAAGCAGTTTTGGTTAACATTCAGCATAAAGAGTAAAAAGAGGAAGAAAAAAACATGCAAAGACATGGATCACTTTTTATGTGATATACAGTGCAATTATACTTTAATTGGAATAATAATTATAGTCATTTGACTTATTAAGAAGGAATATAGCTTTTAAAATGAATAGCTTTTGCTTTATTATTTATTTTCAAAGTTCTTATTACAAAGATCTGGCAAAGACATCTTTATGTATGGGGGCACTGAATTATTTCTTTATACCCGAGCAAACCCTTCCCACTGCCCCACCATCCTTGGGCAATCTCTCATTTGCCAAATGGAAACCAATTTCACCCGACAGTACTTTCCCTAGTTGGGATATCCAGTCCCTTGGAAATTCCCAGGAGTCATAAAATAACTGTAGATAGAGTCCAGGATAATAAACAAACCCAGAATCAGAAGTTCCTGCTGTATTTGCACTTTCTGTTAAGTCCATGCTTGTGACCGAAATAGTGCCTGGGAAAAATTTATTGTGAAAATAAAAATCCTGACCTGGAAAGTCATTTCAGTTTTCATTCTATTTGTTTATTTTCCCTAAAATATTCCATGGCATTAAAACAGGTTTTAATTTTCCCAAATCCCTGCTGCTTCACAGGCATAGTTGCTTGATAACTACTGGTTTGCTAGTTTGGAGTTTTAGCATGACAATGATTTCCTGTTGTCTTAAGCATGGAAGCATAACTACTAAGTCCATTGTCCTTCATTCTGTTTGGAACACATAACCTTGCGTGCTGAGAGAAGTTTTCTTCCAAAAAGGAACTCATCTATTTCTTCATGACTTAGTCAGATTTACACAATTCATGTTAGAGACTGTATTGAGAACTCCAAATGTCATTATTCTCTTTTCTCCGTGTCTATCTCCTGCTTTAAATGGAATTCTTTAAAGCAATCAGTGGTAAGGAAAGTGCTCTCATGAGACATAATTGTGCTCGTCGTGTCTGATCGCCAGGAGAGCACGATGAGGGTGATCTGGGCCTACCACCACGAAGACGTGGGAGCAGCGGGTCCCAAGTACCACAACTCCAATCGCGGCACCAAGAGTCTGCGGTTATTGAATCCGGAGAAAACCAATGTGTTGTCTACAGCCGTACCATACTTTGACCTGGTAAATCAGGACGTAAGTTTTTTTCAAGTTACATGGTTCTAGGGGTGGTTTATTTAAAGTGTATGAGTGTTTACTTAAATTGTTGTGTTTAATAGACTGTCAAGAGAATGTGACTTTTGTCCCCTTCCCCCCTTTTTTTTAAGACAGGTCCCCATCCCAAACAAAGGTACAACTTACTGGTGCCAAATGTTTAAGATTCCTGTGCTCCAAGAAAAGCATCATGTTATCAAGGTATGTGACTCACTCATAGGCTAAACTTCATTTGTATGAATGGAGGAAAAATTGCTGCTCTTAAAATGAAAATAATAAAAAAAATGTATAGAAATGATGTTCAGTGATTTAAAAGTTACTAGGGAACGAGGAAGGGGCTGACCTGACCCACACACACTATCCTTAAAGTCACAGAACTTAGTGAGAAAATTGGACTTTAGCTAGTATTTTGTGTTTTGTCTCCTTATTTTACATGTTAAAGTTTCGGGATGCATTTGCACACCTCTGGTTGTTTCTTATTCACTTCAACAATTGGGATTGCTATTTAAAATAATATACTTAACATATCAGTAAATTATATCCAGGAAGTTTACCTTCCCCACCAATAGTTTGAGAATATCTGCTTCGTTGAAAATACTGGGTATTGTCACAAAACTAATTGTTACAGCATGTTTTCTGAAAATAGGAAAACAAGAATATTGTAGTGAATTTCTGCAGAACTGAAAAACACAGAGGTAATAAATAAGCCTAATTTACCTGTAATATCTAATTCTCTCCCACCTCCTCCAGGAATAGATAGGTCTCCTGGAACTTTTGCATCTAGTTAGTGAATGACCAAGTCTTTAAAAAAATTACAGGTCCTTGTCTCTGTGCTAGGAATTTCTGGACAGTTCCACAGAGGCTCCATTTATGATCCATGCTCTCAAAGAACCTACACTGAGATTGTAGGAGATGTGACCAAGACGCTGGAAAGAATAAGATATAATTCAATAGCGCACGCAAAATATTGCAAACAGCGGGGTAGGGTATAGCTCAGTGGTAGAGTGCATGCTTTGCATGCACAAGATTCTGGGTTCAATCCCCAGCACCTCTATCAAAATAATAATAATAAAATAAATAAATAAACCTAATTGCCTCCCCCTCCAAAAACAAACAAAAAACAATAATAAAGTTAAAAAAAATAGGGCAGACATTCAGAAGGCCAGACATTGCCAAATTTTTGTCACCCCCAGACTGCATAATGAAGCAGTGTGAATGTGGAAAAGGAACAAACTTCTAGATTCTAAATCTGGAGGGAAATAGCCAGATTCATATTGCGAGTTGACTTCTTTATGTGCACCCCGGCAAGAGGCTCCGGGGTAACACTGCAGGCCCCAGTTTCCTCATCTGTAAAAGGGGATCAGTCATCACACTTTCCCCACCAACCTCAAAGCATGTTGGCAGAGATGAAAACACTGAGCACATTCTACAAAGTGATTTAAATTTGTTCATTTCTAATATATGTGTCCAGTGGCACAGATCTGCCTTTTGATTATGAAATGATTCATAACCACTTAGAGAGGCAAGAGGAGTAGGTTGAGGGAATGTTTATTGAATTAATAAGTAGTCTTAAATACTTGCAGGATATTTTAACAATCAGAAGACTTAGTGGAACAATTAGTGTGACTGTGGATGAGTCATTCACCTCTGTGCAACGTTCGGTTCTGCTTCTTGCATGTGAAAGGGGAATGCCAATTCTAGTCTCAGGTACTTAATGCAGTACTGAATCCTTTCCTAAAAACCAACGAAAAGTCTTTCTCAGAAAGAGAATGTTATATTTATACACACTGCGTGTTATATATTATTGTGTGTCATTTGCAGTAAATTTAACTGGAACCTGGCTTAAGGGTCAAAGGTAAAACATATAGGCTCAGAAATGAAAGCAAATGTTTCACAAAATAGGTCCTGGATTCATATTTCAGCAAAAGTTAATTGGTTAGATGTGAAGTCCTTAACCACTTACATGAATGCATTTTTATTCTTATTTTTATTAATGCTAAGAATTTGAATGAAATAAAAACAATTGTTTGCACCTAAGGGAGGGCAGAATAGGTTCTGACCCTCTATGTAGGGTATTTGCTTAGTACCTCATCTAAGAATTCTTAGCTAGCTTTCCCATCACAAGCATATGATAGGAATACTCAGATATGTGGGTATCTATTAACTAAGAATGTGCCTAGAATTATGCACTTTGGGGTTCACACTGCTGTCTTCACTAGGTTTCAAGAGGGATCTCTGTTACTTGAAAGGCTTTGAAGCTTTTTTTTTTTTTGCCACGTTTGGAGGTCTATAAAAGCCAAAAATTCTTTTCCCTGAATAAGAGGCGATTTGAGGGAGGGGTGGCTGGTTGGAGGGCAAGGCTTATACAAACTTTGTTGTTGTGGGACAGAGGGTTGGTGGCTAGCTTTAAAATTCTGTTATTACTTATGAATACCACTTAGAGAATAGATTTCTGAGCTCATTGGTAATCTAAACTATTTTAAAAGTCAGTATTATGAATCATTTAACTTGCAAATGAACTCAAATAGGATAATATACAAAAAACAACAAACAAAAAAACAAAAGAAAGTTCTATTGGGAAAACAAATTTTAAATATTTAGGTTGTATAGATTTTGAGATAGTCTTTTGAAAACAGTTTCAATTGGCAGCTTTTGCCAGTTTACAATAAAATTTTAATAAATTTCTAAAGTAGAATTCATAGATTTCTATTTTACCTTAAGAAATTAACTGATTTCCCAGTCTCTTTTTCTTAGCACAGATGATTTCTAATAATTTAAGAAAAGTGTATCTTCTTTTCATAGAACCAAAGACTCTTAGTTTTGAAAATCCATGAGCTAGGTGCTTCTCCTTTACCTTATTTTATGTCCCACAAATTACTGCATCAAAAAGCCTCAGTCCTTCTCTGACACAAACTAAAAGTGCTTTCTCAGAAAAAATAACATTGCTTTTGTATTGTATTATCTTGTGTGTCATTTGCAGTGAGTTTTAAGAACATATTGATTACAGTAGTATTACAATTAATCAGTTTTGTTCTCTGGACTTTATTTCAAAGCAAAAGTTTGTAATTGAAGATTTTTTTGGGGTTTTTTTGAAATTTTTATTTTTTAACATTTTTTATTGATTTATAATCATTTTACAATGTTGTGTCAAATTCCAGTGTAGAGCAAAAGTTTTTAGTTATACTTGAACATATATATATTCATTGTCACATTTTTTTCTCTGTGAGCTACCATAAGATCTTACGTATATTTCCCTGTGCTTTACAAGTTTTAATGTTGATAATATTTACTAGTTTTAATAACTATAAAACTAAGCAGATAAATAAATCAGTGGTTTGATCAATGAATACATTTAATTGAAATGATTAATATTCAAAATATTAAGTATACTTCAATTTAAATTTCAATCATATAATGATAAAAATGATTTACTATTAAACGTATGAAATAATAAGGTAAGTCATTTTTAAAACAGTAAAATAACAAAGATAAATAATTTCATCTGCAGGAAAGATGGGATTATGATATAAATTATTGATGGTTTCAATTCACTTGTGGTTCCAGTTTATTGATTTATATTTTGATGCTTGCAAAAAGTGCTTAAAATTATGACTTGAAAATGTATGCACAATCAGATGACATATGGAGATTTTTAAAAAGAAAATTCTTGGTAAATTATCTTAAAACTACACTCCTCATATGAGATCATCTCTTGATTTCCTCTCGAGAGCCACTACCCAGCTTATCTCTTCATACTTAATATGACCCTATTCAAGCTTTATAAAGCCAAATATGTGACTTTACCCCAAATTTAAAGGGTTGGTTTTTTTTTAGAGAAAATGATTCTTTCCACTCTCTTTAGTCAATAGTAATATCATTATCACAACTTATACTAATGATTGGATATACTCTGCTAGAAGCTGGGGTTATCAATTGGTTTAACACACTTTTTTTTTGGAGGAGCTTTTTTTGTCAGGGGATTCTCCTTATTTATAAACTCCTAACTCATCTGTTTAAATCTGATGTGTCTTAATCAATTTAATACACAGTTGTTGATGACTTATTATGTTAAAGAGGAGAAGAAAAAAAACATTCAGGTCGAATCATCATCCTTAGTCCTCTCCCCTTAAAGGAGATGACTTCTGTTAGGGAGGCAGTAGGTGAGCTCTGTGCTTTGATGGACCAGGTTTGAAACCCATCTTTCCATTAGTCACTGAACTGTGGGAAAGTTATTAATCACCTACATCTCAATTTTACCATTTAAATGGGAATGATACTTTCCTGATGGGGTTTTTAGACCGAAGATTAAATAGCATGTTTGAAAAAAATTTATTAGCCCTTAGCGCTGAATCTAACACAGAAAACTTCATAAATTCAACTATTATTGTCAGGCCATTCATTTTATTTTTTTCTTTTTCTTTTCTTTCGAGGGGAGGTAGTTAGGTTTTTATTTATTTACTTACTTATATGGGGACTGAACCCAGGACCTCATGCATGCTAACCACACTACCACTGAGCTCTACCCTCCCCACTCTGGCCATTTATTTTCAGTTTTGCTTTCTGAATGACTTTTTATTGAAAACTACTATTTTGTGTGGAGGCCCAGAAAAGGAAGAGCATCATGCTGAAAGGTTGACTATTGCTGAGTTTTAAGAAAGGGTATTTTTACTAGTCGTGTGATCACGGGCCCATTATTTACTGTCCTGTTCCTCAGTTTCCTCATCTGGAAAAATGGGCGTAATAGTTCTCACCAGGAGGGTTGTTATGACTATTAAGTGAGTCAAAGGAGTTTAGTATTTGTAAAGTATTTAGAACAGTGCCTGGCACATAATGTTTGTTAAATTGAGTAACTAAATAAGATTATGTTGATTGCTAGCAATACGCAAGTGCTAATCTGTGGAGCATCCTGTTAGGTTTCTGGGTTGCTGAGGGAGTCCGAACCAGACACCCTTTCTAGGCAGTCAGAGTTCCAAATAAAACCTAGGTTGCCACTCATTTCACTCAGGGAGGCCACCTGAGAACTTTCTGCTCTGAAGAAATGTGACATTGAGGGAACAAAACACTGTCTTTATTCTCCTCTTCAGCAAAGGACACAGGAAGGGAAGTGCTATGCTTTATACTTGCTACTAAACAGAACATCTTTCTTGCCATGAAATTAGACACTGCTGTTCTTTTCCATTGGTGGTGTTCATAAATCTGAG